TTCTATTTCAACCCCAGGAGTTGAGATATTAATCAAAGAAGCAAGTACTAGCAATTCTGGAAAATGAGGTTTTATCATTTTAGCTGTGGCCACAACCTAGCAGCACAGGGCAAGGTGGGTGTCCAGGCTGCTGCAGCCAGGCTCCTGGAGGGTTCGGGATTCTCCCACCCTCAGCAAGCACAGTGCATAGGCTGCTCAGGCCAGCGCAGGGCATCGGTGCAGCAGTGCAAGCAACAGCACTAAATGTGAGCCTCGGGTTGGGGACCTCAGAATGATAGGCAATCCCATGAGAGAGGCAAGGGGTGGAGCCCAGGGCCGGCCTCAGCACCAGGACCCGGCCTCAGCACTTCTAGGTCATGCTGAGGCCCTGGGTCAGGGCACTTGAGATACTGGGGAGGGGGTTGGAATGCAGGGAGGGTAGAGGCGAGGATTGGTCTCAGTGTGGGTGGTCCACGGTGGGGAATGGACCTGTAGTCTGGAAGGAGGCCCATCCTCAACTCAGGTCTGGGCTCTAGCAGTGTGGCACTTCCGACAAAGGACATGGCCATCCAGAGGGAAGCAGCCGTTGTCATCAGCCTCAATGGACAGGGCCTTCCCACAGTCCTGGAAAGGAGGAAGGGTAAGAAGGACACTGGCCAAGAAGGTTCCCACTCCACCCTATTGTACTATAGCTCCATCTGCGGTAGGAAGACCAAGTGTTCCATAGGCTTGGGGTTGACATGCTGGCCTTGCACGCCTTCCTGACCACACTACCTTTCCTGCTCCTCACCAGGCCTCTCCTACTGGAAAGGAGGAAACAGACAGTTCCCAGGGAACATACCACTTGCCATCCCACGACAGGCTTGGAGCCTATTGCATCCTATCATAACTCCATCCTGACTTATTTCTCACTGCTATGACCTCCAACACCCTAACCCAGCACACAAAACCATGCACACACACCCATGCACACACACACACACCCATGCACACACACACCCAACACACAAAACCATGCACACACACACAGCTAACCCAGCACACAAAACAGCACACACACACCCATGCACACACACACACACCCATGCACACACACACCCAGCACACACACACCCAGCACACACACACATGCACACCCAGCACACACACAGCCATGCACACACACACCCATGCACACACACACACCCAGCACACACACACACCCATGCACACACACACCCAGCACACACACACCCATGCACATACACACCCATGCACACACACACCCATGCACACACACACACAGCCATGCACACACACACACAGCCATGCACACACACACACACACCCAGCACACACTCAGCACACACACAGCCATGCACACACACACACACACCCAGCACCACACACACACACCCATGCACACACACACACAGCACACACACACCCATGCACACACACATCCAGCACACACTCAGCACACACACAGCCATGCACACACAAACAGGCAAACCCACTCTTCCCTTCCTTTGGGAAGTCCTTTTGGAAAGTCAAAGTGACCTCTGCAAGGCGGGAGGGACAACTGACCTCACACTTGTAACACTTCATATGGAAGTTCTTGTCCAGAGCGACAACTCGTACAGTCTCATCTCGGCCAGGCTCAGGCATGATGGGCTCCGAGCAGACGGAGCACCTTGGAGCATACTGCCTAAAGGGTCAGAAAGCAGGTCCAGAGGGTTCAGTAGATCCAGGCACCCCGGGCTTTCAGCCCCTAGGAGGGCACAGGGTAAGAGGCATAGATGGTGTGGCCACAGGGAACACCTTTGTATTCCACATGCCTGGGTGGAGCAAGTTCATGAGAAAGGCCAAAGGACCAAGTGGCACACACAGAGGCCTTATCAAGGGGAATTTCCTGCCTCTCCACTTACACAATGCTCTATCTCCCACACCTCTGTCATAGGTGTTCGTTCCCACACCCTTGCCACACCCACACTACAGCCCGGCAGGAACCCCAAAGGGGGAGAGAAGACACCTCCCTTTGCGTGTGCCTACCTCCAGCCTGGCCCCAGAGAAAGCAGAGGGACCAGGAACCTTAGTCACTCACACAAAACCCTGCAAATGTATCCCCCAGACATATTGTCCAAGACGGAGAGCGAGTTCACTTTTCCCATCCCATGGTTATGTTGGTGTTTTGCCTACCAGCCTAAGACTGTTACAAGTCTAGGGAGAAGCCAGTACACCAGGCAGCTGAGCGCCAAAGGAACTCTTGAGAACCCAGCCTACATGTGAACACAGCCATTCTAGGACCAACTGCTGAACAAAGGCACACCCTAAGAAGCCCAAGGGAGCTGCCAAAGCTAACCTAGAAGCAACCTAGGTGGCCAGCAAGCAAGATCTACGTTCTGCTGCTGACCTGGAGCCAGGTGGCAGCCTGGTTACCAGACAAAACATGGATGAACAGGGAAAAAAAAATGATAGGTCCTCACTTGTGATAGTCAGGGACACAGTGGGGCTGGTTGTCCTGGTCGACAATGAAGGAGGTGCCCTCCAGGGGACAGGCACAGACCACACAGGTGAAGCAATGTGGATGGTAGGCTTTGCCAGTGGCCCTCAGCATGCGGTCAGTGATGGGCTGCCCACAGGTGTTGCACTTCTCCAGGGTCTCCTGGGAGACAACCAGAGCAGGTGGTGAGGGAACCAGACCACCTCCCAAGCCTCCTCCAGCCCCACCGCAGCCAGAAGCCCCAAGCCAGACTTACGGTATAGCAGCCCTCGCAAAACGGCACCCCGTCCAGGCTGTAGAACTGCCCTCCCTGCAGCTGCTGTCGACACTGATGGCAAGTGAAGCAGGTGATGTGGAACAGCTGTCCCAGGGCACGGACCGCAGGCTGTGCACGGGGCAGGGGCTCGTGGCATCGGCCGCACAACTCTGGGAAGACCAAAAAACTTCATCTCAGCCAGAAGCTCGGGAAACCCCCAAGAGCTCTTGGAAGGTCATGCACAGGGAAAGTGTTCCCCAGGAGCGGGCAGTGGGCTCACCAGGCACCGGCACACTCGCATTCTGCCTCTGAGGGTGCTCCACCGGCACACTCGCATTCTGCCTCTGAGGGTGCTCCATGTCTTGCATCAGCTGCTGAGTCAATTGTTCCAATTCCTCCACCTCCTTGAGGGTCAAGGGTCCCGGGCCTCCAGGAGAGCGCACCTAAAAACCCCAGCGCTTTTTCCGGATTCGCTAACTCCTCCCACATGGACAGCTGACCCTTTCTTAAGACTTAAGCTTCCACCTCCTTCCCTCAACACTAGGACTCTCCAAGCTCCTCTCTGCCCTGACCCCTAGCACCACACACAAATACAGGAGCGAGGCTGACCTTAGCCTCTGTCTCCTACAGTGGGAGATCTTCATCTGTATAGGCCAAACCCTCACAGTCCCAGGCATTGAGACAGACCAAAACAACTCAGCAATGGAAACCACACACATAGCAGCTCTAAGTCACTGAAGCACCAAACACACCAGGCCACACACCAACTTCGCAGAGCGTGCTCAGACAGCACCTCCAAGCCCCAGACCAACACACACACACACACACACACACACACACACACACACCTACCCACCTACTGATGAATAACCCCTATGAACATGAGGATTCCACGAGGCTGGAAGCATAGGTTAAACCCTCAAAAGCTGTCTGCAGGAGCCCACCCCCATTCCTCAGACATCCTGGGCTTGTTCCCAAGTAAGGGTCTGAGTTAGGGTTTTGTAGTCCACCTGATCCCAGTCCTTCCCCCAGCAAGTCTCCAGGGGAGATCCGAAGGTCTGTTCCTAAGCCAGCCCATTCCTCCTATGTAGAGGACCTTGGGGGCCAAAGGCTGGAGAGGGAAGAATGTCCTTGTGTGGGGACAGAGAGCACTTTGGAAGCCTAGGAACTTGAGGAGGGGTTATCTGACCTGCACCAGCATGTCCCTGAGACACTCCAACAACTCTGGATGGGTCTAGTCTATAAAAGGGTTAAGTCCGCCCAGGACACTGTGACCCTATGACCTGCTGATGCCTTCACCCCTCCAGCCCCTGAAGCTCCTTACTATCTCCTCTCCACCCCAGAACTGTACTCAGACAGAGCTCTACCTGGCATGCCACACCTTCCCAAGGAAAACACAAAAGTCACACTCCCCCTGCCTGGCCTTAGCCACTTTCCCTAAGCCTGACTCCTTCAGTCTGCTGCTCTTAACGAACAGGGGTCCCCAAATGCAAGCTGCACCTTTGTCCTCTTCGAGGATGTCCTTCCCTGTGCTTTGGGGACAGGGAAATGGACTCCTTGCTCTCACCCTTGCTCTCTAGCAAATGCTACTATAAATGGCTGTTCCCATCTTGGGAAGGATGAACTATTGAGCCACACTCCTCCTGTGGGTGCCCATGTCCTTCCTGCAGGACGCTATCAGCAGCTGCCTCCTGCCAGCACCAATGTCACTGTTCAACTCCCACAGCCCCAAAATTCTCATCTCAGTATCTTCCACCTTGAGGAATCTTGGACCTAGGATTGATCAACTCTTTTTCCCCAAGATCCTTCCCAACTATTCCCACCTCTCTTTTCACCACCCATACTCCTAACAGCCTAGCAGAAGGGCTTAAGTGCCCTACCTGGGCTTCAACCTGTCCTTGTGCCTTGTCAATCAAGTCCCCAGACTGGCTTCTTCCCTAGCTCTTTCTACAAAGGCCTCTTCTACCACTCAGGGCTATCTGGCCCAATCTCTAACCCTGGGCCACAGCACTGCCTGTTTCCTGTTTCTGCCTCCACCCTGCAGAAAGTAGGTGGAGAGATGCTGAACACTGCAGAGCTCCCAAACACTGCAGCACCTGCCACACCCTCCAACCCTCCAGGCCCAGCTTCTCTGTCTGGGGTTTGGCTCGGCCAGTTGCCTTCCCCACAGCAGCTGTTCCAAACCTTTTCCATCACGCTGAGCCCCCAACAGCTTGGCCCCCTCCCTCACACTCACCGATGACTTCACCCCTTAAATGCCTGGCAGCTAGCCAGTTTAACTTTCCTCATTCTTCTTTCTTTCCAACCAAACCCTGTGTCACCCTGTCCTTGATCTTTCCAGTGCCTCTGAGGTCAACTGCTGCTCTCAGAGATCTCTGGCCTCTTCCCTGCTGGCTTCTGCCTCCTGGCTGAAACAGACACCTGGACTCTCCTCCCCTACCTTGAAACTCTTAATACACACACACACACAGAGAGAGAGAGAGAGAGAGAGAGAGAGAGAGACAGAGACAGAGACAGAGACAGAGACAGAGACAGAGATACACAGTGAAAGAGACTGTGTAGTCTGACTTGAATTCATAGCAAACCTCCTGCCTCAACTTCCCATGTGCTGTGACTTACAGGCCACCATCCTCAACTTCATTGCCAAACTTTCAGATCATGCTACACTACCAGCTTCCATGTTTCCACCAACTATTTACTCAACTTTGTCACCACCATAGGACACAAACAGTGCCAGGGCCAGCTCTACACAGTCGTAAGAGTCAAATCTCTGCATATCTGTGTCCTAGTCCCTAAGCCCACGACGAAGATCCCCAAGGTCACCTCATCTACTTCTATGGATCCCATCCTGGAATTTTTCCTCCATTCTCTTTGCATGACCTAAAAAGGTTCCTGAGGCCCTTAACTTCCTCCTATGGAGTTCTTGAAAGGCTTGTCAGCCACTCATGGTATGTATGGCTATGTGCACACCTCTAGCTTGAGGCATGCCCCGAGTTACAGTCCCACAGAAGCTGAATGACAGTTCCAGTTGAAAGCAAGTGCGCCTGAAGCCTGTTGCTCAATATGCTGACAGCTGGACCCCTCCTCTTCCCGTTCAAACCATTTCCCCATCTGTACTTCTCTATTTTGTCCAAACTATTGTTATTCCCCAACATAGCCAGGCTCTGAGCCTCCCTGGCATTTGTGTTCTCCTACCCCAGCTGCTAAAGCAGTTGCCTCTTTCTGTAGGGTCTCCCTCTGGAACAGCTCTCTTATTTCTCGCTCCAGCAAATACTACTGTGGCCCACAAGTGAACTCGCTTGCACCCAGACCTCTCTGCCTCTCATAGGCATCTCGGCTGGGAAAACTGTAGAAAACTTCCAAAAGTATTACTTCCAGCAGTCCTCCTGGCCAAAGCACACACTACTAAGAAACCTTTAGTAATTCTCTAGTATGCACAAGCTCCCTGTGGGAGATTTCTTTACCTAGGACTTCCACCCCCACCAACCTCAAGTACAGCTCCGAGTTTTCCCATAGGAACCTTCTGCTTTCTGTTCTCCAGCAGCCCCACCCCACCCTTGTGTGTTCACACCCTTGAATTCTGCACAGGCTATTCCTACCTAAATGCTATTCCCAATCCTTTCTGGGTTCTCAAGTCCTCAAAGACTTGAAGGCAGACCAGCCTCATGAAGCTGTTCCTAACTTGCCAGTCCCCATGTTGGCTCCTGGCTTCAAACCCCTGTAACTCCAAGACTCTGAAATATAGGAATTCAGGAACACTTCTTCGCACACCATGTCTGAGTACACAAAGGCATTTTCAGTCATCGGTCAGACAACCACCAGGTCCCTTCAGGAGATCTCTTCTCGTGAACTAACAGACAACTGTGCTGTCTGTTTCTATTTTGAGCATTCATGTGCTAGACAGAGAAGGTAAGTTCACTTGCTCTTCACCACCACTGTTTGTGGTGGGTGGTTATTTCAAAGACAGTTAAAAAAAAAAAAAAAGCTCAAAGTTCACCCAACTTGACTAGGGTCTAACAGCTTGTGGGAAACAGGCTGGAAATTCTACCCCATACCTGTGACTTCAGAAAGCTGAGCCTGTTTGAGAGTCCTCTCCTGCCTGCTGTCCCAGCCTGCACAGCGGTGCTCAGCTGACACTGGCCCACAGGTGTGTACTGGTGCTGACTACACTTTTATCTCTAGATGTGCCCTCGGGCGTCAAAGGTGCTCAGAAAGCTAGGAGCCTTGGGATTAAGTCAAGGCCCAAGAACAGGAAAAACTAAGGTTGGGCTAGTGATCTCATTCTCCCCTTTACCATTCTGGGGCAGATGCACAAGGCAAAGCTGTGGCCTCTTGATTCTAAGTCCCTGCTGTTCTGCCCACTGACCCAGGCCCCAGCTAGTAGTAGGCTTCCTCCAGAAGAACTTTCTCTCTGCCCCACAGATAACCCCACACTTCCTCCACTGCCACACCCATTCTGGCTCCCCTGATCCTCCACTCCACCCTCACCCCACATGCCCTTTATTCTGTAGCCCCATTCCAGCCCCTGGCCTCGGCTGTGCCTTCCTCACCTGGTTTTGGTTTTGGTTCTGAGCTGGAGGCACTGGGTGCTGCTTCTCTTGAACTAAGGGCTTCTCTTTCTTCTGAGCAGAGGTGAGGCTTGGGCGCTGAGGGGACCCTGTGCCCACAGAAGAGGGAGCTTCTGGAGGCACTAATTTTTGATTAGGCTGTGACCCGGGTCCACTTAGAGTGCCAGGGCTGAACTTGGAAGCCACGGGAGTAAATTTGGGAGCCACCGGAGCAAACTTAGGTGCGGGAGTCGGAGCCTGAGAAAGGGGACCTCGGGGCTGTACATTAGTGGAAGACACAGGCTGGGACTGGACCTGGGGCTTGGCCTGAGGTTGGACATGGAGCTGGACCTGAGGCTTGGCCTGTGGCTGAGGTGGTGGCTGGGAGCTAGAAGGGGTCTTCCAAGGAGGCAAGGGTGCTGTGCCCCCAGGGGCGGGCTTGGTACTAGGCTTGGGAACAAATGGAGTGGCAACTGGTGGGGGTACATATCCAGATGATACCTGCAAAGGAACAGGGGCGGGGAGAACCGCACTTAGAGAAAGCTGTCACCCTCTCCTTCCATCCCCTCCTCTCCTTCTGGGCTCCAGCCTTTCCTACTATCCTGCCCCTTACCCGGGCCTTGAAGGGATCATTCTTGGTCATGTCATCCAGCAGTGAGGACAGAGAGTCGATCTCCAGGTCAATACTGCTCACTTTCTCCCTAGGCTGGAGGGTCAGAGGTCAGAGCACCCATTCCAGTCTGCCCTTGTCATCCCAATCCCATCGGGGAAGAAGAGTAAAGACTCCTTTCCACTTCGCGGGGGTGTCCCCCACCCCACCTCACCTAAAGCTGCCCTCCAAAGCCTCCCTACCTGCGGTGGGAGCTGGGTGGGGGCCTCAGGTCCTCCCTCCTCCTCCAGTGGAGGTGGTGGGGAGGGGAAGATGTCCTCCTCCGGAGGAGCAGGGGGGAATGGCTCATCGATCATCGGGGGAGGTGGAGGTGGGAACGCACCCTCCGAGTCTTCGCCGCAGTCCCCAATAAGGGGAGGAGGGGGCAAAGGAAAGTCTGGGTAGGAAGGGAGAGAGAAGGCTATCAGCACCGGCCCCCTTTCCTCCCCTCAGCCGACAGTTCTAACCCCCTGATCCAAGAACTCTTTTCTGCATCCCAGAGTGTGCCGACCATAACCAGGGGGCTTAGGACGCCCTGGGGGACGCAGGTCGAGAAAGGCCCGGGGATCGGCTGAGGAGCCATGCAGCTCCCGTTACACTTCAAGAGAACGGATCCAAAGGGGAAGATTCCTGGCCCACATTCCCGCCTCCCACCCCCAGGCGGGAGACTTGGAACAGTCCCAAGGGTCCTGGCTCCCAGCCAGGAGCTCCAAGATGAGGTAAGAACATCTGCTCAGGACAGGGTGGCTGCGCCCAGCCCCCTTAGCAGCAGCCTTTCCAGACACCCTCCCAATCCCCCAAACCTCCGACCCCCACCTGGCGCCCGAGAGGAGAGGGGGGGCACCCC